CCGTGCCGGAGGCTGTCCGGTGCCTGGAAGCAAAAGCGCTTCAGAGGCGTCTGCGCCGGGGAGGGCTTCCCCTGAAGCCGCTGGCTCTCCGGGGATGGCTTCTAGTGAGCTGCCCTCCGCCGAGCTTAGCTCGTCCCCCGCCGCTGGGAGCAGAGCGGCGGGGCGGAGTTCATGGAAGTGAAGCGAGTTTCAGAAATCTTAGAAATACCTAATATTGCACACTTTAACAACTCTTGGCGGCGGCGGCGTCCCCGTCCCCCGCTTCTGTTGGGCTTTGCTCTCTCAAATGCTTTTTTCTGGCAGAAGGAAGCAGTGCCTGAGGGCGTCACGGGAAAAACGGCGGGGGGGGGGCGCTCCCAAGGGCCAAACCCCAGATAACGTCTGTCTTATCAGTAAGCTGCAGCAAATCCATTTCGAATCCAGTGACACCTTAATATGGGCTGCTTGTTAACTGCTAATATGTATTTTATTTATTTGCTCCGTTTCCCTTCAGTAGTATTTTTTACAGATTATGTAAACAATGTATGTTGTTTTACAATATTATGTAAACAATCAACCGATTTACAAAAAAAAAAAATCTGACCAGAACTATATCCCTTTTTCCTCGTTAAAATTATAAAAAGTTAAAAAAAAAAACCCAAACAACAAATCCAAAAGCTGCAAATAACTTGCACCTGTATCGAAGGAGAAGCAGTGACACCTGCTGAGTGTTGTAACTCAACTATATTTGGTAAACTTCCTTGTGTTTGTATAAATACTTAGTTTAAGTAATTCGGGCATTTATAAAACATATTTAATAATACCCGAGTTGGTTACATTTCCTGAGATAGTGCAGTGATGTTCTTTCTGGAGCTGCATTTTGTTAATTCAAAGAAATTTGAGGTCTTGACAAGAGGTAGCATAACACGAATACTTGAAAGTGTGTATTTCTGAATTGTTTGTATATTTAAGCAGTAGTATTTAAAACTGATTTAATTAGAAAGTAAGCTTCCTGTCCTTTCTGTTGCAAACTGCAGACAAATTTTCCCTTGAAGCAACACAAACTAAGGAATGCAAAACTTGTAAGAGCACTCGCGCTTCACACTTTTGAAGCGGGTCAGGGAGGTGTTGGTTTAATTACAGTACAAAATTCTCGAGATAAACAAAGGAGGGTGCTCTTCTGGTATAATTACCCAGTTTTAGGGTTATACAAGTGTAAGTATTGCAATCAAGTGAAAAAAACAAACAACCCCAACCCCCTGATCCTAATTAAAGTAGTTAAATGTCTGTGAAGTTAAAATGCTAACTGGCCTAATCTGAAGTCCACTGTTCTTCTGATGTATTTTTATTTTTTTAAACTGTGACATCTCACCTTAACCAGTACAGTGATATAGCTATACATATTTACAATTATTTTACTTCTCTAACTTAAATTCTGTGTAGATGCATCCTAGCATTTTGAGAGCTAGTTACTAATTACCGTCTGTTATGAGACAGGGATAGTAAGAATATTTATCAACCGTTTCCATGTCCCTTTCCTTCCACAGAACTGGGAAGGGACTTAATATGTCCATTGTCTCCCTTCAAAATATTCTGATAAAGTAATTCTGACTAACTGATCACAGAGATTCAACAAGAGCTGATGCTTCAAGGAAAGAAATTTTTTATTGACTTATTCCTTTTTCTTTGTAGCTTGGTCAAAAATGCTTTATTTGTTTGATTACATATGGCACATAAATTTAGAGGTAGAGAAAGCTATCTCTGTGTTGCTTTTAGGTTTTCTAAGCAAAAAAGGCAATGGTAATGCATTGCTGTTTTGGCTCCTCTATAGAGCCTGAACAGATTATTTTTTTTTTTAATGAAGGAAAAATTTAGTAATTTCTAGGGAGAGTTGCTAAAATGCAGACTTTCACAAGTGTAAATTGTAAAAATCTATGAAGGTGCCTACTTTTTCTGTCTGTTCTACACTAAAATGACTTACTGATTTGGCAGTTGCAGCAGAATTTCTATTATATAAAACTTACATAAGCAAAAACAACTCCTTTTGACAGTGTATTTATAATCAGCTTCTTGACTAGAATAAGCTATAACCATGAGAAGACTGCTTATTAGGTTGTTCCATTTCAGGAGCTGGTTTATATTGCATTATGAAGACACTGGTCTGATCTTTGTCTCCAGAGGAGGAAATAGGAAGCATCACTCTATGTGCTGCAAGTAAATCCTTTTTGCGATAGATGAGGCCTCGGTTTTGAGGCATGTGAACCAACCATTTCCACATTGGTTACCTACCAAAGGTAATGGAGAAACTGAAAGATCAGGAAGGAATGAGTTTAGTGGTAGATTAGTCACATAATGAATATATGTTCAATCATTTCCTGGATCAGAGAGTAAAAAAGTTTTCAGGAATTGTTGTTCTGATTTTTCATGAACTGAAGAGGTTTTGAAGACTTTGTTAAATCAAATAATGTTTCTTATATTGCTACAACAGGAATTTTTTGGCCTTTTTTAAGCTCCTATAATTTATTTTTCTTCTTGCAACTTGGGATCACTGGTTTTGTTCAGGTTCTGGCTGCATCATGCAGCCTGCTGCATAATGCCCAACGTGTAAATTGCCTGCAATGTGTCATATTGGCTTCAGGATCAAGCTAGTGTCTGAAATGCATAACGTAATTTCCAGAATAAGTCTTCCAGTCTATGCTTAGTCAATTTGGTTGGTGCTGAGCAAAGTTCTGACAGAGCAAATGTACAGCTGATTCTAGCTGTACATGGTGGTGGAGTAGGTCCTTGGAACCAAAGGAGTGTTTGGGCTATCAGGCTAGAATTATAGAATTAAAACTGTCAAGTTTATATCTTCCTGAGAGTGGCCTGAGGAAGCTCATTGGTTCTATGTGCTGTGTCCTTGTGTGATGTAAGGAAATGTTGCTTGCTATGACCTTGGTGTCATTGTAGCCGACTGAATAATTTGAATTAGAAGTGGATGCCGTGTAGAAATGAAGGTGGACAGATAAAATATATTTATCTTAAGCACATTTTAGAGGTAATGTTAGTAGACTCAAATGATGACAGAGAATATAACTGGTCTTTACGATTATAAGCTTTAAAGAAAAGTCTGGTGGATGCTCATTCTGATGTTTAGATTTGTATATTGATTCTGATTAAATTTCAATATATGTCAAATATATTAAGTAAATTGTTTTCTCTTTTGTGAATGAAAACATGAGTCCAAAATTGGCAGGGCTTCCAGTGATATTGCAAGTTAATAATGATAATGAAACAATTTGAATAACTCTGTATTTTAGTTGAAGGATGGACAGGTTGCAGCCTTTAAGTATTTTTCTTTTTAGATTAAGTAGCAGTAATCAAACTAATGAGGTAATTAAAAGCCTAAATGCTTAGCGTCACAGAAGTTCATACTTAAGATGTGAGGCAGAGTAGGAGATTTGACCTAGTCCTTTCCTTTCTTTTGTCTGAAAGTTATCTTGCTTATTTTGGGATGAGGTGTTAAAAATATTCTTTGCATGTATTGTTTAAGATACATATTTTTTTAACTGTGAATAATTGTCATACCCTTCAGAACACAATTTTCAGTTTTAAGTTGTTAGCTTAAAAGCTTATTTTGTTAAGGGCTTCTTTTTAGTAGTACTAAGAGGATTAAAGAACTATAAAACATTTTCAATTTTTTTTACTAAAGCAGGCGGAGGCAGAGGAACTTCCTTACTCTCACAGAAAACTTTGAAGGACATTTAAAATAAAATGTGGCATATTAAAAAGCAGACAGACGTGATATAGCCTTTCATGCAGTCACTTTATGCTGATATTTGACTTTGTATTGCTTCCTTTCAGTAAGGTAGTTACTGACTTAAATTCTTTTAAAACATTTGTATTACAGATGTATGATTTCTCATATCAAATTCTAAAATGTGTGTTTTCAGTTTAAAGTTCAGTGTTCCTTTGTGAATGAATACACATTATGCCCTTTAGAGGCACATTTGATTAATCCAGAAGTCATTCTTTATAAAGTAATTACTTTCATAATTATGTCAGAACCTTGTCTTTTGTTATGAACTATGTAATTGACTATACATTTCAAAGCTTATTGTAACTGACAGCTGTGGTTGACCTTCTCCTTGCATGTATGTTAAATATGAACAGGATGATTCATTAAGTTTCAAATTTGATGTTTTTTCTTGCATTGCTTTTTTTTAATGCCTGCCTCCCTGCCCCCCCCAGCTTCCAAAGTTTAGGGTAATAGTAAAAGGGTTTGCAGTTTGCTTCTACCTCCTTTGTAGGACTCTTTTGCTCTAAAAACACTCTTCCGGTTTCATTCTTTGCTTGGATAAGTCTTTATACCCTGAGACTGTATCTTCATAGACAAGTCATATGGGCCTGTCGAGGCTTATCTGTAGTGTGAAATGGTTTATGGGACCTGATGAGATGCATCCCAGAGTCCTGAGAGAACTGGCCGATGAAGTGGCCAAGCCACTCTCCATGATATTTGAAAAGTCATGGCACTCAGGTGAAGTCCCTGGTGACTGAAAGAAGGGAAACATTGTACCCATTTTCAAAAAGGGTAGAAAGGAAGACCCCGGGAACTATTGACCTGTCAGCCTCACCTCTGTGCCTGGGAAGATCATGGAACAGATCCTCCTAGAAGCTATGCTAAGGCACATGGAGACCAGGGAGATAATTCGAGATAGCCAGCATGGCTTCACCAAGGGCAAGTCCTGCCTGACAAACCTAGTGGCTTTCTATGATGGTGTGACGTCAACGGTGGACAGAGGGAAACCAACGGATGTCATCTATCTGGACTTCTGCAAGGCCTTTGACACGGTCCCCCACAACATCCTTCTCTCTAAATTGGAGAGCTATGGATTTGATGGGTGGACTGTTCGGTGGATAAGGAACTGGCTGGATGGTCGCATCCAGAGGGTAGTGGTCAATGGCTC